ACCCCCGGGCCAGTCACTCGGCGTCCTTCGTGGCTCGGTTTCTGTAAAGGGCGGCGTGCGCCAGGAGCTGTCCGTTTTTGTCTGGCCCCATCCTCTGGTTCATGCTTAGGAATGTCAGGCCTGAACCAGACCCCAATGGGGGGGGACACAGGCAGGGGCTACTCCAGCCAGGCTGGGGCGTCCCCCCTCCCCCATAGGCCCCTCTGTAATCGGTTAGTCGGTGAGCTGATCCACCAGGATTTTACATCCGGCGGCGTGCGCCAGGAGCTGTCCGTTTTTGTCTGGCCCCATCCTCTGGTTCATGCTTAGGAATGTCAGGCCTGAACCAGACCCCAATGGGGGGGGACACAGGCAGGGGCTACTCCAGCCAGGCTGGGGCGTCCCCCCTCCCCCATAGGCCCCTCTGTAATCGGTTAGTCGGTGAGCTGATCCACCAGGATTTTACATCCGTAGGTCAAACCCAGCCCCAGAGGACAGCCTCTGCTCCAAAGCGCGTACAGTCGGACGAGAGGACAGGAGAACAGCGGGGTGCAGAGGGGATGGCGGGGGAGCAGCCTGATGGGTGCAGCCTGATGGGAAGCGGCCTCGGCTCATTTTGTCCTAACGAGGATGTTAACGCACTTTGCCCCGGCTACAGGACCCCAGTCTTAGGGGAGATCAGAGCTGTCTGTATTCTGTTGCCGGGGGCTCACGCTCCGTGTACTGGTCGTCTCACTGAAACGTGGGCAGGAGAAGCCGTTTGCCCAACATCACACGGCAGAGTTGGGACTGGCACCCGGAACCTCTAACGCTATTATCCACCGTACCGTGCTGCCTAGGGTGACCGTATCACCCTGCTTATTGTGGGCTGAATAATTCAGCAACACTTACCCTGACGATCATTTCTGCATTCTCAGTGGAGGAATGAGATGAGGGGAGGGGTGCACTTCACTGGTGCCCTCTGCAGGATGGAATTGGAACCGTTCCACTGTGTGTCATAGGCCCTCTACTGCTACCTACTAGTGGAGATTCCCCTTCAGCTCATGTGGGCTTGTGGAGCAGGGGGATTGGCATTGTGTTGCTGCGCCCCCAGAACAGGGCAGCCTGGCTGTCCTGTGTGGGATCCTTGCCAGGCGGACGCTCGCGTGGGCCTCTGTGAGCGTAGCACGTGTCCGCCACTGTCTCAGGACGTGCAGCGGGCGAGCAGGGTGGCATCCAGAGCAAGGCTAAGGAATCCAGCCCGGGGAGGCAGCTAGAAGGGGTTGGGAGCAGGATCAGGGCCTTTGGGGGCAGCCAGGGGGGAGCCGATCAGAGCCGAGGGAGAGGGAGGGGGGGCAGGAGGGATGCAGGGGCAGGTCTGGCAGGCCAGGGGGGCGGA